AAAAAAAGGGAAAAAAAATGAATCGTTTAGCAAACATATGAAAATTTACATTGATTCATTTATTGAGAAGTATTTACGTCTCGATACTCCTTATCACATTCGCTCTATTCTTCACGTGGTTCAAATTTTAAATCAATCGGCTCATGTTTAACATAGTATTCGTTAGTAACCGTGACAGGATCAATGTTCGAATTTTCAATATTACGGCTTCTTTTTAAAAGATCATTACTCTTCTCAAGTTCCAAAATATGACTTTTCAAGCTCAAAATTTCTTCGCTGAGTCGTTTAAATTCTTGAGTATCTTGAAAGTTTGTGGGCTGGGAATTTGTAAGCGAACATTTTTGAACCAAACATCTGTTTGCATCTGCCAAATGATTGTTTTGAATGACAAGATTGTTTATTTGATCATTATCATCCTTAAGTTGTTTTTCATAACTAATCACCATTTGTGAAAGTCGTGAGATCTCGAGGTCTTTCGAAATTTTCAAAGTTTCAATCTCTTTAAGAAGTTGAGTATTGTACGCGTTTGAGGAAACTAAATCTATCCTATTTTTGTATAATTCATTTGCGTACGTCTGGGAAATCGAAGAACGATCATTTTCTATCTCTTGGATTCTATTCCTTAAATATTCTATTTCTTGCTTCTGGCGCTTTAATTCATCTTTAGAACCGTTCCATTCATCCAATAAAAACTTAATTCGTTTATTGGATGCTAACAACAGTCGATCTTGTCGGCTCATATGTTCGGTGATAGCTCTTGACAACTCCATAGATTTATGATCATGCTTCGTGACGCGACCATTACCAGGTCCAAGTGGTGTGTGTTGGATATGTATTACATTTGATGCTGACCTGGTTTTATCCTTGTTCTCAAACAAGCTACGTCCTGCATCCTTATTCTTGGGAGCACTAGTCCAAAAACTAATTTCATCATCATCATCACTAGTGGCTTTTCTTTTGACAGCGGAATGGGTGGCTACATTTGGTTGATCCATGTTAAAAAGCAAAGGAGAAGGATTACTGTCTTTAATTACCCCAAGATTTCGAAGTCTTTCTATTGCTTTTTCTTCAAATTCGAAAAATTTGCATCGATTTTCTTGATTGCAGACATAATAAGGCTTTCCAGAATTTTTAGCTGAAGGACCTGCGATCTTTCTTACGGCAGGTTTCTGACAATCACATGTTAACTGAAGGTCACTTCCCAAGTGATTTTCTGAAGATTCCATGGCTCTTATCTATGTTAACAGAAACATACATACGACTATATTAATGCATATAATGATTTCTTGATTTTGGTGAAACTATTGAAAGAGTAAAACTTCACGTAAAGTACGTAACAAATAACAGATAAGTTAGAAATTGTTACAACGTACATACATACGTACTACCTATCTTGGGAATTGAAAGAAGTTACGTAGAAAGTGCATGGCAAGAACTAGTATTTTAATCATCCGCGTGATCTAAGAGTAAGAACCGGTTCTTTGACCAGTATATCAGTGAATGCACGCGATCGACCAATAAAATTATAAGATAAACGGTAAGTGCAGTCGGAGACATTACCAAAATGGATACTAATTCTAGAACATTTCTAGGACAATTTTCTACGTAATAAGTAGGACATTAAAATTTGCAGGACATAGGATAGATTTTCCGGTCATGTGATTTTCCGAGGTCAATAGTCTTCGAACAAAAGGCTCATTTATGTTAGCGTTAGGGTTCGTGCATACTTTAGGGTTAGAAAGGGCTATCTACTAGTAAAATTGCACGAGTAATTTTTTTTATTACGTAGAACCCAAACGTTAATAAGTTTTGATGCTTAATTTTTTTACGTTACACCAG